CCCCGGGGGGGGGAGGGGGGAAGCATCACTATTGCTATCGTCACGTCAATGAAAAATTTGCGAGGGAATGTTGGGATGGTGTGTTAACTGACTTAATTTGCGATTCGCTTCCCTGGAAGGGAAGGGAACGCTGGCCTCTTTCCAGCTTTTTTATTGTATGGTTAATACTAGTTATACATAATACTTCTCATCAAAATCCTGTTGCAAATGAACGAAATCTGTGAATCTCCACTACTGTCTTTGATGTTACAGATTCCTGAGCTACTGCTTGCCGAATCTCAATGAAAAGGTGATAAATGGGACTTTACCATTTCACACACACCAGGAATAGCAAGAATGTGTATGAAAATATTTGGAAGTCTCACTATCATTTAAAGAGTCACTCAAATTCAGCTTCTTGCATTGTGCTAACATATATATATATATATATATATATCATTCGTAGTGTCTGTGTGCTGGCACTGTTGCCAGCGTCGTGGCAACATACTGCCCGTCAACACCATAGATCTATTGATCAATCACGGATGGGTAAAACCATACCATCATCTGAGAACTGGCCCTGACAGGCATGCAAGCACCACCTGGAATAGCATCAGTGTCAGCGGAAATAATGATAATGATAATATATAATAGGAACGAAGCTTCTAGTTGTTATTTGCAAAATAAAAGCTTGGAATGGCCTAGAAATTGATTGCCAGGTCGCTCGTGAATTGGTCGGTTCGCGCGAGTTATGTGGTATGTCAGTCAAGTTTAAGTAGAATAAAATTTCCACCAAAACCAACCACCAAAATCAGCATCTATTTGAGAAGTGAGAGTTTATGGCACAAAAGTTATCATTTTCTTTTGAGTGAGAAAAGTTAAACATCTATCCATCAGATATAAATTGGTAGTTGAATCCCTTCTAGATAGAGATAGATAATCAGAGCTCTAGTTATCATTTTATGCTCAATTGAGGCTAAGCTCATAAACAATACGACTCTTTGAAAGCTGTGGAGATTCTGGAAATTGTTGCTTGATCTCCATGACCTGCTGGATGCCTGAGTATTTGTATTATGTAGCATGTTGCCTGCTGACTAGAGCCAACAAACTGTCCCTGCTGTGTAAACACGCAAAGGGCTCTTAAGAATTAATTATTCAATAAAAATAGATCAAACGCTGTTTAGGGTTAGGGTTACAACTTACAACCTGCATGGTCTGTTCCTGGTTCGATTCCATGGTCTGTTTCCAGGGATGGGAATGAAAACAAATAAAAAGGATATCATGGGATGAAATGAAATGAGATCCATCTCATCTCATTGTGTAAACACAAGGGATACCGAGCAGATAGGCATCCAGCTAGCTAGCAATCTCTATCTGCATAGGGATCGATTAGGGGTGCAGGCAGAGAGACAGACAGACTGCTCACCTCCTCCACTAAATATATCTTCAGGGGCGAAGTTAGGGCAAAGTGATCGCGTTCTTCCACTGCACAGGATCTTTACTAGCTAACTTGGATCAGTGATTTGATGTAAAGCACCTAGTATTCAAATAGTCAGCATATGCTGCGTAGACTCATGATATATAGTCAACATAGCATGAATGCAATGAGATGCGAGAGTAGTCCTCAACTGGCTCGTCTTTGCTTGTTGTTGCTCTTGCTGGCAAACGGTGACTTAGCGCGGTTGACTTGAAGAGTTGCCCAAAGCCATCGATGCTTGCTCATCCTGGCTCGCTGTGCCAGTGCTTTCGTGCCCCCGTCTTGCCGCTCATTTGATATCCTCACCGGGGCAGTTGGAATAAATAAAGGGTACAAATCGCAATCATGTCCAAAGCTACCGTTGCTATGATAGCAGCTGCCAGCGCTGCGACTGGCGCTGCTCTCACTGCGTTTATGTACTCCTCTAAGAACCGCCAACAGCAGCTAGGTTCACGTCTTCCACCACCAGCTACAACAACCCCAACCACATCAATTCCAACCTCTCATCCCAAATCCCCCGTCCTCCAACCGTCCCTTTCCCCCAAATCCCCAGTCGACCCCGCCGGCCTGTTCCAATATGGCTTCCCCGGCCCAGTGGCAGACATAGTTACCAGCCTACCACTCACAAGCGCATTCGACCGAAGAACCCGCAACCCCTTCTGGGTAGCCGAACACATCACCCCCGAGTCCCTCGCGCAGAGAAATGGCGACCGCCGCAGAAGCAACTTCTTCGAAGAGCAAACCATCCCGCAAGCCTTCCGCGCCCGGCTGAGCGATTACTTACCGGTCCGGCTACGACCGAGGCCACCAGGTGCCCGCCGCAGAC